CCGCGCGCGCCTCGCCCCCCTCCCAACCGTACACCCCCGCCAGCGCGCGCTGGGCGGCCGCTGAGGGGAAGGGCGCGGGGCCTCGCCCGCGGGTGCGGGATGGGGCCCGGTGGGTGCGGGATGGGGCTCTCCGCCGCGCGGGGAGAGGAGGGGAAATGAGGGACCCCGCCGGCTGGGGAGCCTGCGGGCCGTCGCAGCCGCCTCGGTTTTCGCCTTTGCTCCCTGGGCGTGGGCTGGGCCTAGTGGCGGGTCCGGCGAGCAGCGGGACCCCCGCGTTCAAAGTGCGGTGATCGTTTGCCGTGCGCGGTTTGCAGAAGCGAGAGCGGCTTTGTGCCCGGCGCACGAAACTGGGAGCGCATGGCCTGCTCAGAGCAAGCCTGCAAAACCTCTGGAAACGTGCCTGGTGGGGAAGCTGCCGCCATCCCCGGCCTTTATTCACAACCAGCCACCTCGGTGCTGTCCTGCGCTTCTTCCCGTCGTTTCTGTGAGGGGTGGGCGTCGCACCACCAGCCCTTCACCTGCGTTTTTACAAACGGGTGTGTGAAACGGGCTATACAGTTACACAGTGCTAGAAATTAAGTGGTTCATAATGCGCCTTTGATTTATGGGCAGTTACGTGACTAAGGTTGGTGACTGCCTTTCATTCAGACTAAGAAATGGAGCCGTTAAATGCCCCTTTGTGTAATGACAGTGGAAAACAGCATCCGCAGATTAAACAATATAAATGTGGAGGGTGGGGAGTCCATGCCTGAGACTGCATTTTTTCTGTGAATCAGAGTTGGAACAGCCAAGAAGGAGCCTCAGGGTGGGGTTTTCTGATCAGCATAAGCCGATGTGTGTGCTGTTGCTGAGCGATGGTGGCAATGTGGACACTAGCGCTCCCATGGGCTACAGTCAGACAGATGAGGGCATTGATCCAGCTGCAAATTAATCCTGCAACAAATGATTCGTTTCCATCTGAGTCAGTTCCATAATCCAGCCGAGCCCATCATTACAAGCCGTAGTGGGGCAGGACCACCGCTTGCCACAGTCGCAGCATGGGTTTAGATGGGACTAAGCTGACCAGGAAACTACACCCTGAGAAACGCTACTTGGGCAGCCTCAAGATAAGTGAAAAGAAAGCTTTCCAGGCCCTGAACTGCTTAAAAGTGTGCTTTGGAATTCGGAAATGGAAGTTGTCTCTTGGAAATTGTTCTTAGCACAGCTGCAGAAAGAGGCCTTTAGATATACATTTTGTAAATAATTTAAAAAGCTGTTCTTTAAACAATTTTCATGTATGCAGTCTGTTTCTGCGTTGATCCAGAGACATGCAACATTATCCAAAGTAGTGACCTACTACTCGGACCAAGAGAAGTAAGAATATTTTACAAAATACCGAGAAAGAGAACGTGGCCTCTGTTTAAACACCAGCCTTGTTGTCCTGAAGGGACAAAGTCACACAGGAAATTGATTTTGGGGGATTCACCTGCATGCATTTGCATCCCATTCTGTGCAAAGTCTGGCACAGTGCCCTACTCCTACACCTAGCAAACACCTATTTTTCTGGAAAAACTAAAGTCAGTGACAGAATGAGCTTTTTTAAAAAAAATATTTTATTATTTATTGTTAATACATTTTTGTAGGACCAAAGAACCCAAGTCAAAGAGTTGAGGAAAGGCTTCACAAGTAATAGAGACAATTCCCTCTTCCAGAGGACAGCTAATATGACCATCTCAGGCGTGTCTACACAAAACTAAGGCTATATGGCTTTTCAGTGTGGCTCTGGAACAGTTAGGTCGTGTTTTGGATGGCACGGAGGCTCATGAGGGACACATTCCGAAACAGCAGCAGTGCTGTGGCTCTAAAGGTGCTTTGCACCAAAAGATACCAGAACTGGTAATCAGCAATAATATCCAGGGTACTAATCTTTTGTCCTGCCCTGATTGACTCATCGCCGCCCCGTGTCTTGCCCTACTTTTGTCCCCATGCTCCTCCCCACTGGCAGAGCAAGGCTGGCTGCACGCTGTTTCTGCTTCAGCGGCTGAGAGACAGATCATGTATGCCGTGGGGACATCCTAGCTGGTAGGTGGGAGAAGAGCAGAGTCTCTTCTCAGTGCTCCTCCGTCAAGACTCGTTTTGATGAGCCTGCTCGGAGGCTGCAGGATCGCATTTGCTCTCCTTTGACAGCTGAGCTCACCCCACCTAGGGAGTTTCCATCTTGGCTGTTTGCACGCCGTCCTCTCTGGCTACACAACAATAATAAACCAGGTCAATGAACTAAACCCAGCAGGAATGAAATTGCAGGTTGTAGCTGAGACAATCTGATAGCCCTTTGGTGACATCGCGTTCCTCCCCTCCTTCTCCACACACCTGGCTGTCTCAGCAGCAGAGAAATTATGCGGGATGAGGGAAGGGAAAGCTGTTTTGGCGGGTGAATGGCTCTGACTCTGATAAGATGGATGGATGGCCCAGGGGACAATCCACGTGTTTGAAGCCAGAAGAAAGGAAAGTCTTGGGGCTCTCAAATTACATCTTGGGAAATTATTCCCTTTGCCAACATCTCACTTTTGCTCCAGGACACGCTCTGACTCGCTCAGCTACTTATTTTTTGTCTCATTTTTCCTCCCTATTTTCCTCATTTTTTTCTTGTCTCTCTGTGTTTAATTTTGTCTCATTTTTAGCTGCTAAGCTCTTGATGCATGCTTTATCAGTATTGTGAGATTAGAGAGCGATACGTAGAAAGAGGGACCGATTCTGCACCAATCGGGGAAAACTGCTGCACTACTGTAAAACACAGGTCTTCAGATTTTATTTTTTTTTAAAAACAGTCTCCTGCAAAGACTCGCAATGTCAATAGATGGTGCTATGTACATATTTTTAGATACACTCGCTGGCTGAGGTTTTCCCAACCAGTAACATTTCCTTTGTGTTTGAGTGTGATATGCTTGGAAACCTAGAAGCCTCACAATTTAAGAAATATTTGGCTTTTATCAGGGAATCACTGCAGAGATCTAAAGGCTTTCCACTCCTTGATATCATGTCATATAGTACTACCTGGACTGTATGACAAATTAATCATGGAGTGAGTCAACGAATGCAAGGATTTGATGCATGGCGTGCAGGTGGTGTATTTCTGATATTTCATTAGCTGTTACGTATTTTAAAGAAGTATGAGGAACTATTCTTCATGCACTTTTCTCTTTTGAGAAGTCTCTCGACTTCCCTCTCCAAACCTAATTACTCTCAGTTTCCTTGAAAACACGTCATGTGCTGTTCATGGGGAGTTGAAATGCAACATCTTGCAAGCAAACGGTGGTCATCAGGACCAGCTTTTCTGTGTCCCAGTGCCAGATTGATTCCTGCTGTCGTTTCATCTTTGAGATGAAAATAGTTTATTCCCTTACACACTTCATTTAAATTTTCTCTGCTGCTGCTAACTGAAACTGTATTAAGGAACCGTATCATTAAAGCTGTATTGCAAGGCTTTTTTTGTGGTGGAGCAGAACATTACATTTTAAAAAAAATGAATCAATATTTACCTTTTATTTCTGTGAAAACCTACAGCTTTTAAGTGTAGTATTTTCAGGAGATTAAGGCTAAAGGAGGAAAAGGCTTCAAAATCTTACTATAAAACCAGTCTAAAAAGCTCAGTTAGCAATAGAGGCTTTTTACCTATTACAGAGATAGATCACTTTACAGCAAAAAATGGTCATCAAACTGATCATATTCCTTAAAGAACACAAAGAGAATGTGAGCTGTAGGATTAAAAGAGCAGAGAGGGAAAAAAATTATAATAATTTAGAGAAGAAGGTGAAGTGCAGTAAGTGCCTAGTAACTTCTAGCCGCTCTGAAGCACAATAATTGCCATGAGAAAAAGAAATATCTGTTTCTCAGTGTGGAATAGACTTCTGTGAATGCCAAAGCATAATGGGGCCATATGCAAATAATAAGGATGTGTGGGTTTCTATTCAGACTGCAGGGACCCTGAAAAGGCTCACTCTGCAGTTTTAAGAATCCTGGCCTCCTTGTGCCAGATGCTGACTATACGTATGTATATACATTGCAATACAATTCAGCACACTTCTTCCATAGGAAAGAATCAGATTTTTTTTCTTTTTGCCTTTTTAAGATTCATTTATGTGGCATTATAGACACATTCTGTCTTTGTCTGTCATGAATGACTTAATGCCTGTATACAGCTATGCCGATGCAGAAAGCTGAACTATCTAAAGGCTTATTTTTCACCAATGCCATGAATTAATGCCAAGAAGCTGTAAGGGGAAGAATATATTATCCAGTAAACAGAGGTAAAAATCACTTATTCTAGCTCTGAATCTTTTGAAGGTTTTTTTGTTTCCTTCCTTGGATTGCATACTGTTATTAACCTAAATCATCGTATTTCTGTAACAAATTGTATGCAATCATTGCTCAAGACAAATACTTCATCGCAAATGGGCACACAAGGAGACTGCATCTCCTGTAGCTCCTGTGGGATTGTCTAGGAAAGAGCCTATAAAGCAGCTCTCTCCTTCCCTGGTACACAGGGATACATAGAAATGTTTATAAATAAAAATCGGACTGATCAGCATCTCAGCCACCTACTCTGGATTTTAAGCCATTCAACTCATCTCTTTTGCTAAACTCTGGTCTTTTCTCCTTTATAAACTGACTGAAAAGTGGAGCACTTCAGAGAATATTCCAAGAGAATCCTTTTTTTATCACTCTTCCCAATTCTTAGTATGTCTTTTTTTTAAGAGAAAGCCAGAATTTCTGGCCTCTCCTTGGTCCAGACTAAGGGCTTTACTCCCACCAAGTACTGGCACAAAATTCTATAAATTATTGTAACAAAATTTATTATTATAACAGAAAAACCTTTTTTATTGACATCACAGCTGAAACCAGGGAGATTTGTTTCCCACGTTGCTTCTCCAGTTTTTAATTTTAGAGCTGCCTGGTTTAATCCCTGGGTTGTGGAGGGCAGTAGGAGTGCTTTGGGATATCAGCCTCACAGCAGAGTCTTAACTCTATCAATCAGTAACTGCAATGGTAGGCACATTACGGGAGACTTCTCCAAAGCAGTTTTATTACTCTTTTCACATCAAATGTTGACGACTGAGGTAAAAACACCAGAAGGCCATTTACAGTAGTGCTTTCATCAGGGCTAGCACTGATGATTCTCATCAGGACTAGGGAATAGTAAAACAGATTCAGAAAAAAACCTCGGTATAAATACAGCCTTGTTGATCAAAGTGTGACCAAGACGGATAAAAAGCAGATTTGCTAACACTGACCTCATACACGTCATTCCCCAAAGGCCAGCTCTGCCCCAGCAGGGCAGCACCAGCCGGGGCAGACAAAGCAGCTCTTGTCATGTCTTGTTGCTGGCACAATAAGGGGTATCAGGAAGGACTGCACAATGCTGCTGATTTTGCCAGAACAGACTGAATGACACTTTCTGCCTAATTCAGCAGATACCTATTGTTGGGGACTACTAGTCATTATTCTTTCTCTTTTGCCTATTATCTTATTTCCTTTTCACCTAATACTTTTTTGTTTGCTTTTCAATTATTTTCCCCTCTATTTTAATATTTAGCATTTTCCCTTCCTAACCTCTCATTCCCCTTTCAGCCTATCTCTTCCTTAGAGAGTTGTGCCCTGTTTTCCTTTGGTCATGCCTCTCCAGCTCATCCCAAAATGACACCTCTCCCCGCACTCCCAAGCCTTCACGTCCTCTCTGTAATCAGTCCCAGCTCATTCCAATTGTGTCTCTCTCCTTACTCTCAGTCTTCAGTGCTCCTCACTGGCTTCCTGCTCACTTGAATTTCATTGTTGCCCCCTTCCACATCTGGCAGGCAGACACACACTCTTCTGAGCTCTCCCCTGAACGCCTGAGATGTCTCCTAGCACATCCTATGAACACCAGTAGTATTAGAGCATCACTTGCAGCATGAGAGAATGTGACAACCACTAACCTGGTCTGCTCGAGGCAACATTCACAAGCTTGTAACACAATATCACAAACAATAACCAGGTATTTATTTTTTGTCTTCCTACACATATCAGGTGAGCCTTACCTGACCAGCATCCTGAAGGCTTTCTGACAAAAGGGGTCTCATTCAAAATGATCAAAGATAAGCCAAGAAAAGAAAACAACCAAACAAGCAGTTATTTCTGATATATGTTTACCAGAGAAAAGGCTGAGTTTGATAGATGCCATCAACCAGCATTAAAACAACAATCAGCTGAGGCATTATTTAATGGCCAGGGGCAGGTCGTCAAACATGATAATGTCTGACTCAAAACTCTTCCATCTCCAGGTGAATCTGTTGTGACACTCAAATTACAGCACAGCTGGGTGGGAGCAGCCACCCTAAGACCCATCCAATGCTTCATTCACAGTCTCAAATGCCTGCTTACACCCCTGAAAAATAGAATAAAAATTCTATGCTGCAAATGTGTACCTTTCCATACAGTATCTTCAGAGACAGAGGCCTTAGGACTGACCTGAAGAGTAGTCAGAAAAGAAAAATAAATCCAGCCACGCAGATATTGGCTGGCCAAACGTATCACCCTCTAGATTCTCTTTTCCTGATTTAACAGCTTTCAGATGCTTGTTAATTTCAAATTGTGTTGGATAGCCAGTTACAATAGGAGGCATGGGCTAAGATGCAGCCACACAGGGCATCCACAGGCTCCACCACGTTTTTGCCTCCAGCTGTCTGCTTTTGAGTTAACATCTCCTGAGACAGTTTCCCTTGACTGATGGTGCTCACGCTGCAAAACAGCCAGGATGTGCAGGGTGACCGTAATGGCTGCGCTGACCAACTGATTCCCACAGTGTGATCACCAGCACTTGAGCTGCAGCCCGTGCTTCCAGACAGGCCAGCTCTGTCTGGTTCTTCACTCTGGACATGGAGATGTCTCTCTGGATGTGGAGATGCTGAACATGAAACACCCACAGAGCGCAGTATGGATTAAATCCATCAAAGGCCATGCTGCTGCTGGAGGGGAAGTCACTCCTGCCCCTGTGCCCATGCTCCTTCTGCTGTCCCAGCTAAATCTACCTGTGTTTCTTGCAGGATCATTGGATCCAGCACGATAGGAGCACAGAGAGAATATAAGGGTAGTGCCCCACTTCTCAGCAGCAGTGCACTTTTAGATTGGCTTAAGCCAATCAGGAAACCTCTTGGGGTGTTACTAATGGATTATTTCAAACTCCACTTCAGCAAAGATGAGGCCACAGGTGCTTTCCAATAAAGCACCCTGCTGTGAAAATCCAGTGGGCACGCCGGAAAAAATTCATGTGACTCCTGCTATGATGTGGTGTTTTTCACTGAAGGACGGGACGTGCCATCGGGCAAAAGGACTGAGCCTGTCTCAGTGCAGATTCACGGAGGTCTGCACAAAGCTTGCCTGGCTACAGATAACAAAAGCACTTGTCCATCAGCCTCTAGCCAGCACAATTTTATGATGTTGACCAGGCCAGGCTATAATCTGGAATGCAGGCTAATGGAATAGCACTTGGATCTCCATTAGCACTTTATTGAGTTGCAATAGTCACGCGGTCAAGGCAAAGATAATATGATACTATGGGAGGTTATATCTTTGTAGGCAGAAATTAGAACTGTAATTCTGTATTTGAGAGCAAACAAGCCTGTGTTGTAATGTGGGGGACTAGAGTGTTCAGTATTTGAGACTGATCTGTACTGCATGTGGTCAGAAAGAGAGCTATTTGTAATGTTTGTGAGCAGGTCCAGGATCAGGTCTTCACAGAAGAACTTAGTACTGTTACGGGTCCTTTTTGTCTCAGCTGGTCAATGTATGGTGGAGGGGAGAAAGTATTGGTCCTTTGACTTTGTTTTTTTCTTTTTCCCCACTCATGCCTTTTGTGTTATGGATTTTTGCATCTGGGTGTTTGGATCTGATGGTGAGCAGGTGAACCCACCTCACTGAGAATTTGATACGTGACCAAAGGGAATACTGGGCTACATGGGTGGCTCTGCGAACGGCAGCTGAGCAATGGGAACCAGCCTAGCAAACGCTGCCAGGCCTCTTGCTGGGATCAGTCTCTGCCCTTCCCGAGGTACAGAACCAGATCCAGAACATTACTTCGGGTTTGGGAAGGTCAGCTATGTTATCCTAACTGCTATATTCAGACCCGTCCACAATTACCACAGCAACTGTGATATATAGGGCCAAATCCTGCTGATACATGGAATAAAAGGAGCATCAAAAATTCTTCTGTCAGGGCTGCATTTGACTCCATGCAAAAGGCAGGGGGTGCTGAGTCCTGTTCGTTGCTGCTGAGTTCCTGGGCCTCCCTGTTAGCTCCCTGCCCTGATGGTAGACAGTGTACAAGTTCACAGAGCAATGCGTACCAGGAGGAGAGCAGGGAGCTGTGCCTCAGGACTGGTGAGGCATCCTCATCCAGGCCAGGAAAAAAAGGATTTAATTCAGACCCTGCTCCAGAGTGGGTTCTTTGCACACTTTGTGGACTAGGGCTGTTAAAGACCGCTTTGGCCCTGTAGAACGGAGCTACAAAAGAAACAAAGACCCTTAATAATTTTTATTTTTGAGAATTATTTCAGGGAGATTACCCACATGAGCAAGATAGTCAAGAATGCACCTCCTTCCACTCAGCTCTTCTGCTAGTGCAAATCAATGTTTTTTCCATTAAAGTCAATGGAGCTTTGCTGATTACATGAAGTCAGGATCATTATGTACAATTTATTGGCTCTAGTCATTTGATAATACTCTACAATGGGAAATCTTTTACCTCTGCTTCTTTTGTAAAACACAAAGGACCCATACAGTTTCAGACCATTATATTTTGCTCTAGTCCCACCTTCTCAGAAAAATTCCTTTTGTTATTTCTCACTTGAGGGGGCAGCTATGACTAAGTGGCTGAACAAAACCTTCAGATTTACCAAACCTGCAATGCAGCTCATTTCCCACCATTTAAGGCAATGCTATTCTTGGAATTCGCACTTTGAAATCTCCCCACCCAGAGGATCAGTGCTTTAGGACAAAGGTAGGCACCAGTGTAAAGCCCAATCGCAAATGCACCAAATGAAAGTTTTAGGTTAAATTTTGTCTTTTCACATCTCATAGAAAAAGAGTTTCTTTGCTGTATTTCTTATTTTACATCTCCATATAATCACCCAGCTGTAGCACTGAAGACCGAGGAGTTCCAGAAGTACGTCCTGGCAATGGATTCCCCCTCCAGTCTGGGCTGGCCTTTTTTAGCTCTGGACTTCATGCAATCCTGTCTTCCAGTCACAGAGTTGCAAAATCAGCTCTGAGCCACCAGGAGCTAAGACTTTTGTTTAATTATGACTGCTTTATGTTAGAATGTGTGTTAATTTCAGCTCCATAGAACACCCCAGTGTGCTGTAGTGCTACAATACTGTATCAAATCCTGCAAGCACAACAGAATTGAGTTGCACCAAGTCAGTACCTGTGGGACGAGCTTATGGGGAAGGACAGCAAAAAGCATGATATTGGTGATTCATTTGGTGATGCTTTTCCCCCTGCAGCGATTCTGAACCAGTGCCCTAAGGTACGGGGAGCTCTGACTTCCACATGAATCATAAGATGTTTTGGCTGCCAGAGATGTGACTGTGTGTGACATGCATAATCTTTACGATGAGTTAAAGCAAATACATAGAGCAAGTAAGGTTCAATAAGGCTCTTTGTTAAACCTACACATTTGCAGCTCAAGTCCCCACCTAGGAGTCTAGCAATTCTTCTACCTCTCTCCTCTTTAGGTCATCTGTAGTTCACATCTGGTTCTCAATCTAAAACACATCAACACTGAAATGTATTTTAAGGATGTGCAATGTTGCAGCATAGTCTGAAATGCTACCAGCAATTGATTCATATTGGGCAACAAGGCTGTCATGTGGGGCTCTGTGGTAAGGTAACAGCACACCCCATAGTTGAAAGTTGGCTAAATGATGCCTATAGAACTTGGGAATGTCACCCACAATGAAGCTTATAGTTGTTCCATTGTTTTCATATTTCCCCTCTTATGTGTATTTCTGAGACACTGTTTTATTATTACTAATTGAATATTAGAAAACCACTTAGTTCTAATTCCTAGCATTTTTGTTTTGAACGAAGTACCAAATATTTGAAGCATAATTTATTAACAATAAAAATAAGATACTGATCTCTTAGTATTATTTTTTAGATATATTCAAAAAAGAGAATGAGTGAACTAGGCAGCTGCCAAAGCATGTGTGTCTGAGCTGAATAATGATCAGGATTTTATGTCACATTTGGAAGGGAAACGTAATAAAAGATAAAGAGGGATATGGAAGTGTGATAAAAATACCCACTTGTCATTGATAAATTTTTCTAGACTTATTTGATATATTTATTTGATAGAATGATTGCTTGTTCTTTACAGACATGGACATTAGACCTAATCTTTATGAACTTCCTGAATGTATTTTGTATAACATTAATTAAGATGAAAATTGAGACTAACATATAAACTGTAAAACATATAAAAAACTCACTGAATAGTGAGTCTTCTGTCAGGAGAAAGGGGAATTATTAATGGAGTTTCCTAGATTCAGTCTGGAAACAATCTTATTTAATCTTCTCACTAATGACCTTGGCACAAAAAATAGGAAGTAAATGAGCTAATGAAATCTGCTGACAACACAAAACTGGAAGGTACTACTGGTACAGAAGAGGACTGGAGTATCGTGCGGGAAGACCTTCATGACCTTGAGGACTGCAGTAATAGAAACAGGATGGAATTTCATAGTGAATAATGTGGTGATGATCTTAGGGGCCGAAAGAAATTTCTATAAGCATGAGGAGGAGAAAGAAGTAGATGTATGTCACATGATATGTATCAGACTTTAATGGAAGAAGGCATAGGACCCTACAATGCACAGAAAGGAATGCATTAATATCTTCTTAACATACAGTGATAAAGCATGGTCAAACACATTCAGAGAAGATAGATTCAAACTCAACTGGGTACCAAGAAGTGCTGCTAGGACAATTAAGGAGATGAAGAAGGCTCTCTTACCAGAAATATCTTGGTGTGAACAAATAAAATAAGAGAACATAAAATCAAGGGATAAAGAAAGGGAAAGGGAAGGCTATTAAAAATAAAGAACGGTACAGGTACAAAATAAAATGCCCAGGAATATATTTAGGCTGAAATTAAAATATGGCTTCAAAATGTCAAAGCAGGATTCTGGAACACCATCTCCGTCAGAGCAGAAAGAAAAAAAAAATCACTGATTTTAAGGTGAACTTGCTAAATTTGGGAAAAATAAAAAAAAAAAAAAAAAAAAAAAGAAAAAAGGGGTGGGGAAGGGGGCTATAGGGCAAA